ATTAAATGAGCAAATCAAATAAAGCAGAAATGGTTACTGAAAAACTTGATTATCTGGGACTTGCTGTACCACTAATTGTAACTGACTTGAAAAAAAAAGAAATAATGAGATAAATGCAAATGACTGCAATTTAGAAAGCAGTTTCCAAGGGAATTTTTAGGATGTCTGCACATCGAATCTATCTTTCTAGTTCTCAACATTAAATACTTTTAATTGAATGTTGACATTAAGGATGGTAGACATTCAGGTTGAAAGGGACACTAACAAACACCCTAAACCACATCTACTCTCTTCATAGATCTTTGCCCGCATCTTCCTGTGAATATAGTTGTATGAAATTTAGACAGTGAGTATTTCTTGAATGTATTCTATGTCTGTCTCTATGTCATAACTCTATGGAGAAAAAGGACAGGTCACACTTTTTTTTTAAACTCACATCTGTGGTAAATTTTTTTCTAGAACTATGTAAGGGGGAACTTTGATGAATTTTTGTATTTCTTGTAAAGCTATATTGCCAATTTGCTTGCTATTCTCCATACTATTTTAAGAATAATGCTGAATACACATGACACATAGTGGGCATTCAGTGAATGTTGACTACATTGAATAAAATAGTTTGGATCAAAATGAAGTAAATGGGCTTTTTTTCTGGCATTTAAGTCTCAATTTCCTCCCCTGACAAGAGTTTTGAGATTTAAATGAGAACACAGGGTGTTTAATAACTATTAATATTTTTTATTTTTATAGTAAAACAACTAAAACAAATGTTTAGCAAAGGAGAAAAATTAAAAGTAATGCCCTAAAATACACATTCTTGAAACAACCACATTTAACATGGATATAAAGTCTTCACATCCAACTAAGAAATCTTCATAAATATATAATTTATTATTAAACATTTTATTACATCATTAAGTTGATTTACTTTATCACATTTTAAGTTTTTAAATCTTTTTTGGGAAAAATTATTTTGTGGAGAAAGCAAAATATATATGTGGGACTATATCAGAATTTAAGTGAACTGCGTAAGCGTTCAATACAGAATTACTAGTGGCTTTTCTAAATACATTAAGATGTTTAAATTTGACTTGACCTAAAGGTAAGTGCAATCTTTTATTTTACCTCCAGTTTTTTAAATATTTAAAAAGGGAATTCATTCATCTCTTGCCCTGAATCTTGTTTCCTTTTCTAAATGATATTTTAAAGAACAGCTATCAGTCTTTCCCAGAGTACTTATTAGGATATGTGGGGAATAATCCATTTATGGTCAACTGGGAGGACCACAGAAATTGACATTGATATTAATCTTGCAAATCTGAGGAGTAATTATAATACTTAGAAGTATTTGACTTTAAACGTGTTAGGTGGTGAAAGAAATTCTTCAGACTTGCTATTTTTATTTACAAATCACTTTAAAAATAACAGTACAATATTCATTCTTACTTTTTACTTATACTCCACTTTTTCAATTGCTATCATTTCACCACAAAAACTTAAAAGAAACAAAGAATCATGAAGTAACGTTTACAATTTGACAAATCTGATTAAACCAAAGGTGTTTACCATTGAAACTGATTCTACCCACCCATTGCATCTCAGGTTTACTTTCTGTTAGACAAAATATTACTGTCTTTTCCCAGAAGGAACCCAAACCATTGTCCACTGGAAACAGTCATGTTTTAGACTGTTAAACATTGCAGGGGGTTATAAGATAACAAAAACAAGTATCGGTCCTGGGATAGATTTCAAGAGTTTTTGGAATATGTATTCCAAATACATCTTAGGGTTCTCGGCTAGATTAAAGAAAGATGTTGAAACAGGGGGAAAAAAATGTCTTTTGTAACTTGTACTTACTGTACAGGCCTAGTCACAATTACCAGATCCATTTAAATGATAATTTAATAAAATCGTAAGGTTACCAGGGGATGAGCACATGGTCTGTTCTGAAGGTTAGTCATAGTTTTACAGTTAAGAAATGCTTTTCGTATGCCATCTTTGACACACCATTTGGAGAGAGGACAGACTTTAGAGCTAGACAGACAGAGATAAGGATTTAATCTTAACCTCTTACTATCTGTAACAATGGGTAAGTGAGTGAGTTGGCCTTTACCACGCTCCCTGCTCTCATCTGTAAATGCAAGTGGTAATACATGATGTAGGGGTCATGTGATGAATAAGATAATTTAGCTACAGTGCTCTGTAGAGTAACAGGCACATGGTTGGTGCTTAATCAGTGTTAGCTATTATTATTTATCTTCACCAGAAACACATTCAGTGAACAACTCTTTTTACTTTTTCTTTCGTGAATTCTCACATCACTATAAAGGGGATTTACCTGCAAGCAACCTTACCATTTTTTGAAAGTGGAACAGTATATAGCACAGCAATTTATAATTAGTAATATTTACTCAACAAATATTGACTAAATATCTGGTATTCAGAGTCTTTTGGTAGGCACAAAGGAGGTAGAAAAATAAGAACACTTTTATTTCAAATAGCTTTTATTCACACTAGGACTAGAGGAAAATCTTATTCAGTAGAAAACACAAGACAAGAGGAGATCTTTCATACTTTTTGAAGGAGAATCATGACATTAACAACATCAACAATAATTCGGAGCACACCATTGAATTTTCCATTCAGTATTTTCAAATACAATAAAAAAGGACTCAGAAAGAAGGCAAACAGTCCATCAACATGTTCAACAATGGTATTGTTATTAGGAATTGATCCTTTATTAGATAATATTTTTCACATCTGGGGAAACATCACTGGCAGCACAATTTCAAGAAAAAAAAGTTTGGCAACATGTATTTTTCTCAGCAGCTCTGGATGACAGATTTTGGTGAATGCTAGCCAAAAAAATTAAGGGCAAAACCACTGGTGCACAGAGGACAACAAACTGATCTTATTACAGAAACAGATTATCAGACCATAATAGAAAAGACATTTTGATTTTACACTAAACTAGAAACTCCAGATTATTGGCATACACATCAACAAACCCAGTCTAGAATGTTTAATCACTAGAGTGATAAATACTGGTTTCCTGCCTGCTCTGCCCACCTTATTTAAAAATATCAGGATATTTGCTTTCAAATGACACAAACTGCTGAGGCTATAATCGACAAAACGATCACTCACTTTTAACAGCATGCTTGTTATGCCGGCCACCACTGAAAGGATGATTTCATATAACCCGGACACTGTGGCGACAGACACTGACCATTGCTTATCCAGAAAGAGTGTGAGACTCTTACAATTCAGGAAGAGCATATAGAGATTTCTTTTAAATCTAGAAACAATCTCTGCATACCCAAGGAAGTGCCATTCCTCCTCAGATTTTAGAATTCTTGTTTCCTTAAATTATTCCACTTCTACTCAATTTTAAGTTAATAAAAGAAATAGTCAGGAATTGTTGCAAGATCTGTCAAATGTCATAAAATGCCAACTCCAAGAAAGGGCACCACAATGAAGCCTAGAGGACATGACCACAATGTCCCCAAAAACATTTGACCCTCCTTATTTTGATGTTGCAACCTTCGCCTCTAATGTGCCTAAGGCCCAAACAGAAAAATAAAAGGACTCCAGTTTTCTTTGACGAATCTGGAAATATCTTACTTCCAAATTATATTGAATTAAAATTTCTCTTTTGCAGTTTTGTTCTTCAGGTTGGAGTTTATGCTTGTGGGTTTGATTCATAAAACATATTCTAAGGGCAAGAAAAGAATGTGTACAATCTTCTTGCGTGATAACTAGCACAGCACAATTAGGTAGTAGCAAGAACAGAGGAAAACTGTATTTGAGACGAAAGGAAATATTCTGTACTAATAAAACAAATGCCAGGTCCAAAGTAGTAGACCCAAACACACAAACTTGATTTATATTTTAAGATAAGAATAGTAAAAAAAAAAAAAAAAAAGTCAAGTGGTCTTGAAAAGGAAGTGATAACAAGGAAGATACAGAGTAGTGCTTACTAGAGTTTTTATATAAAATGGCAAGAAAGAAAGTGAACCCAATGGTGTCTCAGAAAATAAGTTGCCAACCTTGTTTCTAGTTAGGAAACATAGCGATTTAAGAAATTATTGTCATAGTTTAGATGTGGCAATTTGGTTTTGGCAGTTCGACAAGGGAAGTAGAGAAGGGTAGAGAAGAGATTGTTGGTTAGAAGGATTGGCACTACATGGTGAATTCACCACGTGATTGCTAAATGTTCCAATTTGAGAATTAAGATGGCTTGAGAAACTGTTACAATGCTATTACTTGGTCATTGAGGTCAAGTCAGAGCAGCCCCAGATCAATAGTCTAAAGTTCACTTATTTTTAGTATATTAATAACTGACTCAGTTGTTACATAAAAGCAGCCAGGTATGTCATAGAAAAAATGAACTGTAGTTGATTTGGAGAAGTCCAGTTCCATAGTCCTGTGTGAGTATACCATGTTTATCTAAAAAAATTATCCTCTGGTCCCATGACAATCATTCTGTGCTGCATGAAGCATTTGGTGGGGGGAGGGTATAGCTCAGTGGTAGAGTGTGCGCTTAGCATGCACAAGGTCCTGAGTTCAATCGGTTGAAATGAATAAACCTAATTACCTGCCCCCAAAAACTAAAAAAAGAAGCATTTGATGGGGTAAAGCAAGCTGTTAGGAGGCAAGGGCTATGATTTTCAATGTAAACATGACTAGGAAAAGAAGGCACACATAGGCACTTCCACATTTTAGTGAAGGTGTTGATGAAGATGATGTAATACTCACATAATACCTCATTCAAAAGGCAGTAAATACAAACTGCTGCTGGAGACCGAAATATACTGGTGTCCTTGGGGAACATAGGACATATTTGATGATGACTATGACCATGCTGAGATCAGTTTTGAAGACAGTACTAAAATGCCTTCATTTCTTAGCATAGATTATCTGATTTTCATTTCTTTTGAAGGTGAAAATGCCCTCTTTAAGGAATGGTTGAACAGGTGTGTGGTGGCCTTTTTTTTTAATTTAATTTTCTCAGTAAGTCAAGTGATTTCATTTCTCAAGCAGGAAAAGAATGTTTAGATGCTGCTAGAAATGACGATGCAAACTCTTGACAGAGTGATTATTTCAAGCTCAGAATGAATCACTTTTAAGACAGAAACCTTTGGTTTGTTTGTTTTGTCTATTAGGCATTTAATACTTTCATTGAGACAAATTGAGTAAACTTTCAAAAGATAAATAGTAAAAAATATTTAAATACATTGTCGTAAACAATGCTAAGTTTAAAAAATAAGTATAAGAGTGCTGACTGAAGAGAAATTTTCTCCCAAGAGAACTTCCACATGGTCATTCTATTTTACTTCCATATGGAGCCTGTAAAGAAACCCAGTAAATTAAAAAATCTTTAGGAATGACCTTTGGAAATAAAACAGTCCTGAATTGTTGAACCCTGCAGTTTCTGAGATCTTCCTGTGAGGAGATGTCCTGCTTTCAAATCCACCATGTTGTCAGTGAGAGGTGGGTGAGAGTTTGAAAAAGGTCACCGTCAAAACTGAAGGCATGATTTCAGTTCGTAGGATTTGTGATGAAAATGTGATTTATAGTAGTTTTTCATAAGTATCTCTGTTTTCTTCAAAAGCTGACTCTGTCTCCACTACTGATGTTGTAAGTTTGTTAAAATATTTAAAAATATTTCATCTCAAAATATTCTCATTTACTAAGCAGTGACTAAATAGCTTCTATTAACATTTGAGGTCCATTTTACTTATTTAATAAAACTGTCTGCTTTTCAATTTAATATACAATGCTAGATTATACTATATAAATAAGAAAATTTTCTTTTTGCACCTATTATCAAATCTTATTAAATTGAACTCCTAGCATTGTTTACTGATAGATTTCTTAAAAACCTTTATTTTTTATTCATAATTAATAAGTTATTAAGAGATTGTGAGAAAGCCAGTGTGATTATCCTTCAAAGCATGTATCAGGAAGAGATAAATTGTTGATAATGCTTACAGAGGAGTGTTTCTAATAGTCTCTTACTGCAAACTATTGTGAGCAATAAAAACTAAATGTATAAGTGAAGAAAACTATACCAAGTGAAACTACCCTTTCAAAAAGCACCGCTGTATCTCAGAAGTGCTGATATTCTCCAAAAGCCTCCATTCTGTCCCTGAGGGCTACCATACATCTTGTAACAGTATAATCAAAAAGCACTGGCATTCTGTTCTTAAAACTACATTCAGCTGTGATTAATCCTTTTCCATAGTTTATCTCCTTCTCTGTGTATCCTGAAAACTCTGTGACCAACTGGGTACTGTATCACATGGAAGGATGTGTGATTAACTCATTAATGCGTCATGTTTTAAATCTAAATAACCATGGAGATGTCCTGGTGACTTGGCTTTATCAAACTGATAGCTGTGCATAAGTATGCAGCAAAATTACTGTAGGAAACCAGTAAATTAGTATCTTTGCATTATATTGTTTCATTTTCTTATTCAAAATCTAAAAAATATCTGGGAGGACTAAGAGTAATAATAGAGATTTGTAATTATGAAGTTGATTTTCAAAAGTCACAATTCTGTTTCCAATTACAATATGGTATAACTTTCCTTTTTAAGGGGGGTGTCTTTTTTTTTAAGCCTTTGGTTTTAAGTAAGTCTCAAGCAATTACAGTAAAAACAGCAAGAGTTAGCAAATATGATTGGCATGAATTTCTCTAAAAGTATCATGAAAAAAATTCATTACTATTGTGAATCTAGATTGACCTTACTCTTATGCAATGAAAGTAATTTTTAACTAATACTGAGTTACATTCCATTTTAGATTTGCTATTTCAAAGGGTGTCTCAGATTTCTAAGATGTTAAACCAAGTATTGAGCCATTTTTGTGTATGTAATAAAAGTCTTTAAAATTAAAATGGTAATCCTAAAAAAACCAAATGCATGAAAAATATGGTCTGACTGTATAACAAAAGGGAGTTATATAATTCTACTTGAGTGAAATCTTTCATCTTTGATTTACAGGTTAGAGTCCTCTTTAACTAAAACCATATTGTTCCGTATCTTTCATATCATGGCCTTCCCTAAAACCTTGTTTTAATTAAGGTTTCTTTCAGATTTCTGAATAAAAGCATGACAATCTTCTCTTATGGCTTTAATATATCCTTTGAGTTAGGAAAATATATGAAAAGAAACATCGACTCTTTGAAAGCATTGTCAGATATTAAATACTGCGAGGTATTCTGCACCAGTGTCTTTAGGTGTTTGAGTTATGCACTGAAATAGAATTTTGGGAGGTGGGGGGATAACCTACTTATATTTAGTAAGTTGCTTTTAATCTCAGAAATGTCCTTTATTTTTAGCCTTTGACCCTAAGGCAACATGTGTAGAGGTTAAATTCTTGTTGCTTTTTTCACATGAAGGCACAACTTCAAGGTTAACTCAATTCAGGATGACTTCAAATAGGCAATGCCTTCATTAACACATTTCAAAGATCTAAAAATTCAGTGACATTGTGTAAGTCATATTCACCTCAATGGTTTCACAACTAAAAGAGCACATCAGACCAAGCAACTGTGTTAACCTGGAAAGTAAAGAAATACTCAAAGCTCCTGAGTAATTGGGGAGATTATGGATAATCCTTTTTTTTTTCCAAGTAGGAAGGAAGGATGAAAAGCAAGAAGAAAGGAAGTGATGGAAGGCAGAAAAATAGAAGTAAGAGAATAAGTTCTTGATAGATTTGGAGCAAATTAAGATCGCCTTTGAAAAGTTAATGCACTTTTCAAAGACACTGAAAATCCTCTGTGGAACATACGCTCAGAGCTACTGTCATCAGAGCGAGGGCTGTGTGAGGGGGGGTGAATCCAGTGCACATTTTCTGGGTGTGAGAACACGGAGGGGTGCTAGGGAAACAGGGTAGCTTTCCTCAAAAAAATGTGACATAAAATACTGCACCATGGTATACAGTGTGTGAGGCTCCTCTGGCATTGGACTTTGAGATAGATACAGCATAGTTTATTACAAAGCCTCAGCCCGGTTCCTCCATTTTGAACTTTTACTAGCAGGAGTTGAACCCTGTGTTAAAACAAAGGCCAAAAAACGAAACAAAACAAAACAAAAAACCCCCTGTGATCTGTCGGGAATTGCTATCTGTTCATCGCTGAGAGCAAATCCTGTAAACAATTTAAGACTGTTTGACTAAAAATTATCCAATAAAAAAAACTGATCAGAATGTCAGGAATGAGTATTTCTCAGGTTTTGCCCCCAATTTTGCTGGCTGTCATAGCATCTGTAATTAACAGTATCTAATGGCTGTATTGGGTGTTTCTAGTTCATACGTTGGGGCTGGGAGTGGGTCACCCAGCATATTAAAAGCACGCTGGAAGCAGTTTCTTCCAATCGTGGTTTACTGTAACTTTAGAATCACAGCGGTTACTTTTAAGGAATCTTTAATGCCCTTTCAAGTCCATCCAAAGAACAAGTGAAGCTGCTGTTCAGAATTTTGTGCCCAGTGTTTATGTTCCATTGAATCTGTGCCACCCAGGCAGCAGACAAGACATGTCTGAGGGTGCTGGGGGGGTAGGGTGGGGGATACACAATGATGTCACATACAGGAAATATCGGGGTTGGGGCGGCTGGAGGGGACTTGGCACTTCACAAGGCTGGCTCCTCTTCCATAGGCTCACCAGCAGTTCTGTAAAAATAAACAGGCAATCAGAATACGGCATAAGAGTACACAATGACATTGTAGATTTTCATGCATAATCAAAGCTGATTTTTCAGCCCTCTCTGATGTTTATTTGTGTTATTCAGTTATCCATAAATAGAGTTTCTTTCCTAGGAACTATAAACAAATGTCAAGTGGAAAAACATTTTCGATCCAAGCAATCATTGGAAATGTTCCTGTTTATATTAAAACATGTCAGAATATTTTATAACTCTAGATTCCAAAATGTACATGTTTTGTGTCTAGTACAGTCCAATAATTTATTGAAAAAATTAACTATGATATTTTATTTTAGAAGCAATTGCAGTGATTTCCTATGGAACCAGTTTTCTAACGAGAGCAAAGGACCCAGCTAGCTTCTGGAGGAGATGTACCAGGGCTCTGGTTTTTGCTTCTGTTCTTTCATAACTGGATTGGCTGCCTGCCGGAGGCATTTCAAATCAAATTCTGAATTTGATTAGCAAATCACTGCTGCAGACCCAAGATTTTTACAAGAAATGCACTATATGGTAGTATGTAAATAGTTTTTATTCGGCATTATCTGTGGGGTGTTCTGCTTGGGCAAAACCAAAACTAATTGCTTGAAAAATTATACTGGAGATTAAGCCTTAATTTAGTAACACTCTGAGGTGTTTTAAGGCAAACTTTTAGAATGATTTTTAATTTAGTCAAAAGGACAAATTGTAGTAGGAATCCAAACACATGAGGTAGCTGGATTGTTGAGGGAAGAAGACTGGGATTTGAAATGCGGGGAGACTGGAGTATGAGTCTGAGCTCTGCAATTTGCTAATGTCGCAACTGCTAATGTCGCAACTATACTTTTGTGAAGCTGGGGTTTCAGGTTAAAAACCGTGAGAAAAAGGATGTTCCTTACAGAACTAGTGAAGGTTTAAAAAAAAAGAAAAGAAAGAAGGTAAAATTGACTTCCAAACAACACACACTGTAAGACATTAGTTATTTAATACTTTGGATTCGTCATCTAACGTACGCACAAATTGTGTCGAATGCTACACAGATACAGAGTTGTGCCTGTGCTACCATAAGGAATCACAATATTTGGATGATCGTTCTCTCTGGGTGTGGAATAATAGGTAGGTGGTTTTAATTTTCTTTTTCATATTGTTTATTTACTTGCCAGTATTCTATAATGAATTACTTTTATATTAGAACAAATTGCTATGTTTAGAACGTTGTTGTTTATGAAGACAAATGAACAATTTAGCCATGTTATTTCATAGTTCTATAAGGAAAAAACCCTGATATTTCTATATATCTATAAATAAAGTAGTTGCCATTTTAATTTAGCATTTTATAATAAATTTAAAACACTGGAGGGAAGATTTTTAACCATGGAATAGTAATTAAAAAGATTTTTATGCATCTCTAAGGAATGGGAAATAGTAGATATTCACTATTTAATGTTAATAAAAAGTGAGAGTTCCAAATGAACCCATATGGAAATACTACAAAAATAAAAAATTCTTAGGAACTTATGCCTGTCCAAGAGTATACTGGATAAGGAGGTGGTGAGAAAGTGGTTAGAGTTGCTATTATAAGATAAAAGCTATTTAAATGAGTCGTATTCTATTAAAATCTTTCCAAACTAAAATTATCAGCATTTCCAAAAGATTTTAAATTAAGGAAAATATTTAAGTAACTAAACTAATTTATAAATAAATATGCAAACTTATTTACATTTTAGAATACATGGATTACACGGGTATAGAATCCTCAAACTAGATAACTCCAAAGAGAATGAATTTTCCTATTTTTTCCCAGCTTTATCAAGATATAATTGACAGAATATTGTGTAAGTAAGTTTGACATACAGTGTGATGATTTGATACATTATATATAGTGAAATGATTATCATAGTAAATTCTTCACCTCCCATAATTACCATTTTGTTATGATAACATTTAATACTTACTCTCATAGCAAATTTCTAGTATACAATAAAAATTATTAACTACAGTCACCATGCTGCATATTAGATCACAGAACTTATTCATCTTATAACTGGAAGCTTGTATCCTTTGACCAACATTGTTCCTTCTCCTCTGCCTCCGAGCCCCTGGTACCTACTGTTTCTATGAGTTCAACATTATTTTTTTCCAGTTTTATTGATAAGTAATTGATATACCTCACTGTATAAGTTTAAGATGTACAGCATGATAGCCTGATTTACATATATTGTGAAATGGTTACCACAGTAGGCTTACATCCATCATCTCATATAGATACAGAGTTCAGTGTTTTTAGATTTCACGTGTAAGTGAGATCATACAGTATTTGTCTTTCTCTGTCAGTCTTATAGCATAATGCCTTAAAGGTTCACCCATGTTGAACCTTCTTTTTTGTGACTAAATAATATTCTATTGTATGTGTATACCACATTTTCTTTATCTATTCATCCATCACTGGACACTTGGGTTGTTTCCTTGTCTTTACTGTTGTAAATAATGCTGCAGTGACCATGAGAGTGGAGATGATCTCTTCAAGATAGTGATCCTGTTTCCTTTGGATATATACCCAGAAGTGGGATTACTGGACCACATGGTATTCTACTTTTAATTTCTTAAGGAACCTCCATAGTATTTTCCATAGCAGCTGCACCAATTTACATTCCCATCAACAGTGCACAAGAGTTCTCTTTCTCCACATCCTCACTAATTTATTATCTTTCATCTTTTTTATGCTAGCCATTTTAACAGATGTAAAGTGATACCTCAATGTGGTTTTGCTTTGCATTTCCCTGATGATTAGTGACGTTAAGCATCTTCCTATGCACCTGCTGGCAATTTGTATATCTTCTTTAGAAATATCTATTCTGGTCCTTTTCCTATTTTTTAACCCAGTTATTTAATTTATTTACTTATGTATTGCTATTGAATTGTATGAGCTCCCTATACATTTTAGAGATTAACCCCTTATCAGAAATATGCTTTCAAATAGTTTCTCCTATTTCATAGGCTTCCTTTTCATTTCGTTGATTCTTTGGCTTTGCAAAAGTTTTTAGTTTGATGTCATTTTACCTGTTTATTTTTGCTTTTGTTGCTTTTTCTTTTGTTTTCGTATCCAAAAAACTCATTTTAGAGACCAAAGTCTAGATTTTTTTCCTGATGTTTTCTTCTAAGAGTTTTATAGTTTCAGGTCTTATATTTAAGTTCTTAATCCATTTCCAGTTAATTTTTGTGAATATAAGATAGGTCCAATTTCTTTCTTCTGCATGTGAATGAAAAGTCTAGTGTTCCCAACACAATTTATCAAAGAGATTACTGTTTTCCCATTGAGTATTATTGACTCCCTTGTCAAAAAATAGTTGACAATACATATAAAGGTATATTTCTGGGTTCTCAATTCTGTTCCATTGGTCTAGGTGTCTGATTTTCTGCCAGTGCCATATTCTTTTGATTGCTATATTTTTGTAATATAGTTTGAACTTGGGACATGGGAAGCTCCAGCTTTGTTCTTTCTCAAGATTGCTATGGCTATTCAGGGTCTTTTGTAGTCCGATTGAATTTTAGGATTTTTTTCCTATTTCTCTGAAAAAATAACATTGGAATTTTGACGAGAATTGCAATGAATCTATTAATGACTTCATATAGTTTGGATGTTTTAGCAATATTAACTCTTCTGATGCATGAACATGGAATATCTTTGCATTTATTTGTGTCTTCAATTCCCTTCATCAGATCTTAATGTTTTTGGTGTATAGATCTTATTTTGTATCCTGAAACTTTATTGAATTAATTTATTAGTATTAACTTTATTTTTGTTCTGAGGGGAGTATTTTTAGTGGAGGTACCAGGGATTGAACTCATGAACTTGTGCATGCTAGGCATGCACTTTACCACTGAGCTATACCCTCCCCCCTCAGTATTAACTTTTTTTTTTTAGTGGAGTCTTTAGGATTTTTTAATATCCAAGATCATTTCATCAGCAGATAAACCTTTGTCTTATTTCTTTTCTTAGAGGGCAGACTTTCAACTTTTTACTATTAAGCGTAATGTTAGCTGTGGGTTTGTTTTGTCATATATGGCCTCTATTTTATTGAAGTATTTTCCTTCTATACATAATTTGGTTAAGAGTTTTAATTATGAAAGAATGCTGAATTTTGTCAACTGCTTCTTACGTATCTTTTCAGAGGATAATATGATTTTTACCTTTCATTCCATTAATGTGGTATATCACATTCAGTTACTTGCATACATTGAACCATCTCTGTATCCCAGGGATAAACCCCCCGTGATCATGGTGTATGATCTTTTTAATGTGCTGTTGAAATTAGTTTGCAAGAATTTTGCTGAGGATTGTTGTATCTATGTTCAGCAGGGTTACTGACCTACAGTTTTCTTTTCTGGTAGTATCCTTATCTAGCTTTGGCATCAGAGTAATGGCTTCACAAAATGAGTTTAGGAGCCATAGATTTCCTAAATCAGATTCAGATGAAAATGATCAAAAGGGGAGATTGTCACCTACCCCAAGGCCACAGGCAGATTACTAGAATTCTGGGTCCCAAGCTAAGTCTGGGAGGTGGGACCCTGTGAAAACCAGCTGTGACAGGTGATGCCTGACAGACACCATTTTCTGGGCTGGCCCTGCTCCCTTCTCAGGTTCTGGGTAGGAGGGAAGAGCAGGCTTTCAATTTTTTGGATGAGTTTGAGAACTAGTGTTAATGTTGTATAAATGTTTGTTAGAATGCACCAGTGAAACCATCTGGGACTGGGCGTTTCTTTTTTCAGAGGTTTTGGGTTACTGATCTAATCTCTTACTTGTTATTGGTCTGTTCAGATTTTCTATTTTTTTCATGATTCAGTCTTGGTAGGTTGTATGCTTCTAGGAACTTATCTATTTCTTATAGGTTCTCCAATTTGTTGACATATAATTGTTTATAGTAGTCTCTTATGATACTCTGTATTTGTGTGGAATCAGTTGTAATGTCTCCTCTTTCATCTATAATTTTTCTGAGTCCTTTTTTTCTTGGTAAGTCTGTTTAAAGGTTTGTCAACTTAAAAAATCTTTTCAAAAAACCATGCCTTAGTTTTGTTGATCTTCTGTTTTTCTATTCTCTTATTTATTTTTGCTGATTTTAAAGTATTTTTTCTTTTGTTAACTTTGGGGTTAGTTTGTTTTTCCTTTTCTAGTTTGTTAAGTTGTAAAGTTAGGTTGTTTGAGTTTTTTTTTTTTTAATGTAAGCATTTATTACTGTAAGTTTGCTCTTAGCTCTGCTTTTGCTGTGTCCCATAAGTTATGTTTCCATTTTTGTTTGTTTCAAAATAATTTTTTGATTTTCTTTGATCCACTAGTTGTACAGGAGTGTGTTGTTTAATTTCCACATATTTGTGAATTTTCCAGTTTTCCTCCTGTTATTGATTTCTAGTTTCATACCATGTGGTCATAAAAAGTACTTAGCAAATTTAAAACGACTGAAATCATAGTAAGGCTTGTTTTGTGACCTATCACATGACCTATCCTGGAGAATGTTCCGTGTGTATTTGAGAAGAATATGTATTTTCTTGCTGTT